TAAAAGGGTTTCTTTCTACCTAGTGACGGGTGCATTTTACTGTTTGTAAATTATGTCCTAATAAAAAACCTCACTGAAAAGTACATATAGATTTTAAGATGTATAGGTCATCAGTAAAATGTCATGTTTTATATATTACAAGGATTTAGCAAAACTCATCAGTAACATTGACCTGAAGCTCTCATTGACAATTATATTTCTTTTTTTTTTTTTTAAAGATTTTTATTGGGGCATTGGGGGATGGGAACAGTGCTGGGGAATTGGGGGAAGGGGAACAGACAAGTTGCTGTCCTTTTGTTCTTTAGTCTAGTTGTGGAGGACGTTGCTTCACTGGCCCAAGTTGGCACCATCATTGCGCTCTTCCTGGGTGAGGCAGATCAGTCGCCGGCTTCTGGATGGCCGTTCACAGCAGCTGCTGGCGGCTCACGCTGGCTGCTGGCTACACATGGTAGCCCATGGCAACCCACTGCAGCAGGGGCTGCAGCCTATGCCGTTGCCGGCGACTCACGGCAGCCCAGCTCCAGGTTGAGCTGTTGTTCAGCATCTTAGCTGTAGAGGGCAGTGTCACTGGCCCTCATTGTGGGATCCGAACCGGGGCCCTCTGGCATCCCAAGCCAGCTCTTAACCAATGCACCACTTGGCAGGCCCTGACAATTATATTTCTGATTAATAAACACAGGAATTACTATTTTTATTTTTTAACAAATATGGCCGATTTCAAATTGAGTCAACTTGTTCTTACCAATTTAAACTCAATGAAACTGACTGGTCAATTTCAACCAGTTCAATCAGGTCAGTGTCAAATCAGGTTTAAACTAGATCAAACCATTGTGAATGATCCTTCTCCGTTTAAACCGCTTTCAACCAGCAGAGCAGAGTAGTTAAGAGTCTGGGTTCTAGAATGAGTAAAAATCCCACCTCTTAGCTACCTATCCTTGGGCGAGTTAATTTATCCTTTCAAAATCAGTCTCTTCGTCTATAAAATGAGGATAATAGTGCTTCTCTCATAGGATTGTTGTAAAAATTAGGCATCATGACGTATGTAAATCCTTACAATAGTAATTGGCATAGAGTATGAGCCCAATAAATACTATTATTATATATTCATTTGAAGTGATCAAATTAAGTTCTGCCTGGCTCAGACTGGCTTGACCAGGAATAGAGAAAGATGACTGGCAGTTGATAATGAGCTCCTTTTTCTTGTCCCAGTTTTTTCCCTATTAAAGGCTCACGCCTGCCCACTTCTGAACTCCTCCCAGCATTCTTGACATCGCAGTCCCTTGCTTACCCCTCCTGGCTCCCAACTGAGGATGGCACAATTGAAGCCAATTATCCCAAATGCAAATGCTCAGTCACTGTCCTGTTTCCTACGGAGCCAGAAGCTCCTGGAGTTCCTTGTGTCCTCTTCCTCCTCTCCCCTCCCCCTTCCTGGCCTAGCAGACTGTGTGCTCAGTAAGGAATCCTGATTTTTAAAAAGCTAAGGTGGAGTTTCAGAAGGGGAGACGCCATGGTGACTGCACTCAGGTGCGTCTTCATGGAGTGAAAACAACTGACGTGAATACTTATTCGTGAAGATTCAGTTTTCTAACCATTTTTCGGCTCTTTAATACCAGGAACTCATTTGAGACACCCTTTTTCCCCTCAGTTCTTGCTAATTTAGACTCTAAGAGCCAACTCCTTGAGCCCAAAGATTATGCCCTTTCTGTTCTAAAACAGTCCCCTACCTACCATTAAAACTATGCACTCTATTCAGATCCAAATAGCAACAACTGCTTTTTTAAATACTAGTGTCGGCACGTATATTTGACCCTCAAGGTAGGAATTACCTTTTCTCCCTTTACAGATAAAAGTGAAGTGTGAAGAGCTTAGGGAACCAAGCCCCATGGTCACATGGCAAGTAGATGGCAGAGGAGGACCCAGGTCTACTGACTCCGAATCCTATGCTCCTCCTGCCCCTCAGTCCTGCCTCTCACCTTGTTCCCCGTCTATCCTCTTCCTTGGAGGCACTTTACGGCTATGACTGTTATCCCTGACTCTCACTTGCTCCACACAGAGGCTGCTCGGTGAACATGGGAACTTCTGTCTTGCTCCCACCCGGTCTCTGGTGTCCGAGGGGAAGTGGTGCTTGCAGCACACTTAAGAGAAAAAAGTGGTGATAGCTTCCAGATGAGCTTGTTATTCTAAATTTAACATTCCTTTTGGTACTTAGAATTTCCACTTTCTCCCTTCGACCCCTTTGCATTTATGTAATTAGAAAGCATGCAGCAGGAAATTGTTTGGGTCTCAGTACCATCCAGGATGAAGGCTGTTCCAGCCCCATGGAGTCCATCCTTGTGGAAATACTTTGCAGAGTTTATTTGGACAGGTTCAAAAATAGTCCTGCAACAATACAATCAGATCGCACCACAACAAGTAAAATGTAATTATGGCTTGGTTACATTAAAAAAAAAATGTAAACAGTGAGGTTTGGAAAAACTAAAAGCAAAAGTATATAGATTTTCCCCTTCATGCCCAATATGCGCATTTCCTGCAAGCAGGATTTTAAGACTGCATCCTTGGATCTTTTGAAATGGATGGGAGGATGACACTCGCTAAAGGATACAGCTCCACAGAGTGTGTTCTCAGGCCACTTCTCAGAACAAAAGCAGACTTCTGCCTAAGGCTTGTGCAGCCTGATAAAGGCTCCCCCAGCGGGGACTCGGATTGCCAAAGTCATTCACCTAAATGAGTTCAAAATACATATTGTTCTGGGCCAAATTATACAGTGTCAAGCTCAGACTGTATGTATTTATGTATGTTGGCAGAGCAGGCCACTTTTGGGGCGCCACAGCTTGATCCTAGTATCCTGTGCCCAGTTGGGTTCCCATCCCTCTCTCCCCAAACCCATGAATTTCCTTGTATTTGGTTCCAGAAGGGCAGACAAGAAGCAAAGTCAAAGTTTCACAACCCCACAAGGGAACAGGGCCTCGGAGGACTTGAATTTCGAATGAAACTCCGAGTAGAAGAGAATCTGTGCCTTTGCCAACACACTGGAACTTTCTGAAGGTCGATGTGAGGTGGAGGCAGGGAGTGGGGACAAGATCGAGCATTGTGCTGTGGGCCGGTCTCTGCTAAGAGCCACGGGGCGGAAATACACAGTCCTCTGGGATTAAAGCAAACAGCCAAAGCTTCCTTTGGCTGGTCTTGGCCCGGAACTATTCCCTCACAGAGCTAACGAGTTTCTTAAAACACATTAAGTGGTAATTCAAAGATGCTGGGCAAAGGGGTCCATCCAAATCTAAGCCCTAGTAACCAGTGAAATAGAGAAGTCTGATTCCAGGGTCCATTTCCACTCCATTCTTCTGACAATTCTAGAGAATTAGTGAGCGTGTTGTTTCCTGTTGTCTTTTTTTTTGGAAGGGGACTTGTTATTCTTCTCTCTGCCTGGAAAAATTGGGAGGAAATATTACTTTTAAAGCAAATATGGAGAAGACAAGTGTATGGGATGAAACAGGTTGCAAGGTTATTTTTCTTTTAGTTACATGGGTTGGCTGATCATGGAATGAAGGGGGCAAAGTGAAAAACGTGGAGTGGCTGTAGCAAGCCATGGCCATGACTTCCAGTCCTGGGCTCAGGCCCGTCTTCGGGCTTTACCTCATCCAAAGAAACAAAGCAGCCCAGGGAGCAGAGGCGCCTGGACAGTGTGGGGCAGAGAGCCACTGCTGCTTCTTCTTGTCCAGAGCTTCACATACATCTCAGGAGAGAGGAGGAGAGAAGCGTGAGGGAGAGGAAAACAAGATGGGTATTTCTACCCTGAATCCACTCATTACGACACTTGCAAGAACTGTCTAATCACTGCTCCAAAATTGGGGTCAGACACGAGTCCCCCCCTGGTGCCCTGCCTCACCCCTCCATACCAGTCCCTTTCCCCTGCACGCGGGGCTACACTGACCCACTTCTAGTTTCCCAACTATAATATGCATGGCCAGGACTCCAAGCATTTGTATAAGTGACTTTCCTTATCTTTTTGGAATGCCCAAGTCAACTCCCAGTCCCAATCCATGTTATTTCCTCCTCTGCCAGGCATCCTAAGCAGACTTAGCTGTTCCTTCCCCTTTGTTCTCACCGCACTGTCTTCAACCGTCCTCTTCCAGTGTTACAAGAGTTGGCATGTCTGTCTTTCCATCACACTCTAAGCTGCTTGAAGGCAGGGCCTTGTGTGCCATCTTTTCATCTGTGTATCCCTGCTGCCTAGAACAGTGACTAGCTCACGGGAGATGCTCAATCAACAGTTACAGGATAAAGGGACAAGTGGGATCAAGTTCTGCCCATCGTAATTTTATCACAGAGGGAAAGAGATATGAAAAACTGAGTTCTGGAGTGCTGTTTATTTTCAGAAGAAATTGCTACAATACTAGTTTTGTGTCTAGCCTCCCTGGTTCAAGTGAAACCAAAGGAATAAAGTCAGAGGGCACTAAAAGTGGCCCTTTTGTCCTCAAACTTCAGCTGCCACATGAAGATATAATAAAATCAAGCCTTATGTGGCCTTCCAGCCAGGTGGGTATGCCACACGCTCTCCCTGCCCCAGGACAGAGCCCCCCGTGGAAGCCTGGACTGGGTCAAGCTCCAGGAAGCTGTGGGAAACAGTGACATCCATGGAGTGAGCCATCGACAGTCAGGTGGCATGCCCTGCCAACAGAGCCAGCTAGCTGACCTCAGTGCAGCAGGCCCTGCCAGGCCCGGGGGTGAGAACAACACACAGATCGTAAAGAGCTGCCACAGCAAGGCAAGGCTCCTCAAGACATCTGTCACCTTCATCAGACAACGCAACAGCCATCTCCACCTCCACTGAGATGGAGCAGTTCTAAGACCTTAGCAGGTGAGTGGGGAGGAATGCACAATGGCTGTGGTTTCAGGAAGGTTCTCAGGGAGGTGGGGACCAGGCGGGTACTGCTGCTGGCAGTTCAAATATCGTTCCTCATGCTCGGAGACCAAAGGCGAAGAAAATACAGGCTATGCACTGGGCTGCCTATTTTTGTTTAATTTATTTCTTTTAAGACCACCTCCTTGCAATTTCCAGAGAAAATACAAAACAAGACACAGACTTGGTTTCAAACACACAAACACTGTGCTGGAGTTTAAAGCATTGCTGGTAACATTGTTACAGGAGAACGTCAGCTTACTCCAGGGCACTTCAGTATTCCTGAGGAATAAACATGATTTCTCTTCCTCCCACGGGGATGTTCTCAGGGGTAAGTCACTGCTTCTGCTCCTGGTAAAATAAGGACACAGGTTAGAACTGTGCAGACCGTATCGTGACAACCCTCTCTGACTTGCGACTGCAGGTCAGACCCCAGGGACCAACGGGCCCCAAACCCTACCACCGTTTGCTTTCAAACTATCTCACAAGAGACCCGTAAACAGCCCGCCCAGGTTCTGAAGATCAGCTCCCCAACCTCTGAGGGAGGAGAATGGGCAAGGGCAGGGCCCGACAATCGGTACCTGGGTCACTATACTCACAAAACCCACTGAGGGATGGAGCACAGGTGAGTGGAAAGAGCATGGGTCTAGAGTCAAACAGCCGACTCGTGATGAGGTCTTTAGAAAGTTCCTTAACCTCAGTAAGATTCAGATGTCTCATCTTCTGCATGAGAATAATAAAACCTCACAGAGCTACTGGGAGTGGGGGTGGGCTAAAGAAGGACTAGAAAGCACCTAGATGAGCGGCAGGGCACAGCCGGCACTTGACAAGCAGTTACCATAACATGACGAACTAAAAAAGCCCCAAATTGGGATTTTGCTCCTCTTTTTTAGAGAATGGAAGATGACAGCACTCAAGCACAGGCTCAAGTTCAGATAAAGTTACAAGGCCATTTTGGAGCCGTACACACAAGGCTGTAAAAAATGTAACAATATTTTCCACAGTAACTCCCAGCCATTACATATAATCACCCCTGAGCCATTATCCATGGCAACTCAGTTTGGAACAATGAAAACATTCTAAACAATTAAAAAACCTGAAGCTCCTCTCCCTGTTCCTGTCGGTTCTCCCCCAAATTCAGCTGTGGAGCCAAGAAAGTGAAGGGCTCCGGAGAAGTGGGGACGGCCTGTCTCAGCTTTGGTGCCACGCAGCTGCGCCTCTCCTCTCCTCGCACTGTCCCTCTGATGACGTCACCCTGGCTCTGGCGCAGGGGTGGCTCGTTAATATGGAGGGCGGCGACAGGCCTGCCAGGCTTCCTAACTGGCCGACTCTCCCTGCTCCCATCCTCTCTCCAAACGTGTACATGGTCGGTAGGCAGCTGACACTCTGAACAGGTTCTACGACAGAAGCTGAGCTGTGGTGGGAAACTGCCATTTGAGATTTGGTGACAGCTTTTGACCAGAGTCGGCACACTCATTTGTACCCCATTTTCTGCTCTACTTGTTATAATGATGGAACGATGGACAAGTCAATCACCTTTCTTGGTTGGCCTCAACATTTCTATTTATATAGCACCTCACAGCTGAAAAACATCTCACATTTAATTCTCACAACAACTCTGTAGGTAGAGATTATTACCCTCACTTGAGAGATAGAGAAGAGAATCTCAGCGTGAAAAACTCAAGATCATACAGGCAGCAAGTGACCAGGGCTCACCCCAGGTCCCCTGGCTTCTGAGCTCTTCCCGCTAGCCTCCTGCTGCTGCCCAGATCACAGCGATTCTAGCTTAAGGGTAACCTAGAGAGTATGATTCTACTAATCCAGGGTATGCGAAGTTCTTCACTGAGTTTGTACTGCTACAAAGACTATGCCTTAGTAAGCCTGAGGCCATGAACACATCTAATAGGATATACTGGGGGTGCCCAAAAAATGTATACACATGACTTGTATTCATCTTTTGTTACTGGTATATATTGAGTATTAAATTTTAATAGTTTTTTCCTTTCTTAAAATGTGTATGTATTTTTTGGGCACCTCTGTATATACCCTTTACTTCATTCATTTGTTTTACATTTAAGCACCTCCTTTGTTCCAGACCCTGGGATACAAAAATGAACACACACCCCCGTCCCGGAGCACCCAGTTTCCTGCGACCTTGTCACTGAAACCCCACTGCAACCAGTCATCTAAAGGACGGCAATGTGAAATGCTGCTACATACAACAACGTTAGGAAACGGACTACCTTCTTCCCTCTTGAGATATGCGTTATAATTTTTTCATCTCGTCTGCATCATGAGAAATCCATCTGCAGACAGGGACTTCAGCCAAATTATGTGGAACTTATAGCCAAGAGCTGCCCTTTTCAATAAAAAGCAGAATGATGGCTGAGTCCCAGGAGTCTTTCAGTTTAGCTTGAGTATGTGTGAGACATTTACAGGGCACTCTGAGATCTTGAACAAAAGTGCTACCTACAGATATTTAACACTAACCTACTTTACCACAATGATAAACTTTCAGGCAGGTTTGTCAATTCCAGTGGGCTAACATATGAGCATATATCTGAATGCATGTCCGCCAGTCAAGGGACAGGGGAGGGGAGGGACTTTAGGCACCAAAGCAGTGTCATCCCTAAGGCCAAAGAGCAACTAGGGTCTCAGGGGTGCCACATGACACACACAGTTTATTAATTATTTACACTCTAAAGAACTCTTCTGGGACTCAGGAGAAAACTCTTTTTCTTTGGGAAGAAAGACAAATACCAGTTCTGTACATACTTTGACATATTTTCCATGTAGAAGATATGGAGCCTGGAAGTCGTGCTGACAGTTGGAGTAGGCCATTCCCAATCCCATGCCAGAACCAAAGGTTAACGGCCACATTCTCCCTGGTGAGCAGAAAAGGGAAAATCCCAACAGGGAACCATTAAGAGAAGACACAGCTTTTTCTCCGGCTTCGATTAATATTCAACAGGGATCATACTATGCCACATTTTGCCAATGTTTCATCAATGGTCAAAAAAAAGGAGAGGGAGTCTATTAGTAAACTTAATTTAGCAAGTATTTATTAAGTACCTATGCTATGTAATGGTACAATATGAAAACAGTAGGCATAATTGAACCTTTTAACTTCTCTGTATCAGTTCCAATCATTTGCTCACTTTATTTTCTTAGCATTAGCACAAATAATACCACCTTTCAGTAAGGTGCTTGAATTTTTAAAATGTAAGAATTTCGCCAATATTTACACATTTTGATTATAGTAAGTCATGCGGTTTACTCATGCCCATACTGTAAATTATTATTTCATATCACCGCTATGTGTTATGATTCTCTAGTTGTGTAGTCCCCATCAGTTCTTCATGCCAAGAGGTCAGTATTCTAACTTCAGAAGTTCTTCCCCAGAATGAAAGGGATAGTGCCTGCCCTTTGCTTAGGAGAGTTTCTGGTCAAAAAGCATGTCTTTCTGGGCCATTTGTTTTTATAACCAGCAGACCTCTCATTTTCAAGTTCCTTTAGAAAAAATTATAATTAATTAGAAATGTTTCAGCATGTAGATTTGGCCAAATGACTTGCTGGCATGAACTGCAGGCTTTTAAAATGATATCATCTTTAAGGTATCAGGTACCCTGACTCAGTGTCCGGGGGGAATTCCAGAGAGATCCAACACATTTTGATCTCTTCTGCATCCACATTCTTTGTCTAGCTCATTTACAGAGGCCTACCCAAACCCATCAATGGATGGTTTGGCAGCCGTGGATGTGTCTTCCAGAAGGGTCCCTGCTATATGTGCACATACACTAGGACATTACGTTGGAAAGGTAGGAGAGTCACATTTACATTTTTTTTTGATAGATGTGTTATCTTTATTGCAGCGATGATTTCACTTATATACATAATATATAGGTCAAAATAGTAAAATTTTACACTGAAATAAGTAGAGCTTATTGTATGTCAATTATATCTCAACAAAGCTTTAAAATATACATGGAGAAACACCATCCTATACACCCTCCCTAATAGTTCTCATTCATGATGATTTATTCACCATGTGTAAGCTGAGACCCTAGTTTTAATCTTCAACTTACAATTCCCTACTTAGCTACAGACCCATATATGCAATGATTTAATAAAATAAATGAACAAACGAAACAGAAACAGACTCATAGATACACAAAACAAACTGATGGTTGCCAGAGGGGAAGGGGGTTGGGGAGCTGGGTGAAAAAGGTGAAGGGATTAAGAAGGACAAATTGGTAGTTATAAAACAGTCACAGGGATGTCAAGTTCGGCCTAGAGAATATAGTCAATAATGTTGCACAACTATGTATAGTGCCAAGTAGGTGCCAGGCTAATTGGAGAGATCACTTTGTAAATCATATGTCTAAACCCTATGCTGTACACCTGAAACTAATATAAAATAATATTGAATGTCAACAGTAACTGAAAAAAATAAATGAATAATTTTTAAAAAGGGCAATCAGAAAAAAAAAAAAGTTAAATGGCACACTTACTTTTAAAGAAGGTAAGTGAGAAAACAAGTCCTAATCCAAAACCAGTACCTGCAAAGGAGGAGAAAAAAACATGTTAAATCTCATAACAATAACTTGACAAAAACAAAATAAATATTTCATAAACGTAAGATCTATAACATTTTTTTTTTTTTCGTAATTTGGTCTAGAGTTGCTTTTCTCATTTCCATCCTTCTTCTGGTCAGAGGCTTTACAGATGCCTTTGGTCCCCACAGTCGGGGATAAACACTATTCCCAATCTGCCTAGACAAGTCTGGGGTGGGGATCAGGCCACGAGTTCTTGAGGAGATGCTCTGCGCTGCTTGTAAACAGCCTTCGGCATTTTGGGCTCTCCTACCCATCTGCAGTAGGGGGCCGCAGCCAGAACATCAGATAAAAATGTCCACAGGAAGCTCCCTGTCCTTTCAGCACTTGGGGTGCCGGCTACTTTTTGAGGAAGATGGGAAGGAGGGATCCAGAACTATTCCTAACGGCTGTCACAAGTCACAGAGTCCAGACAGACGGAATACACCCTCAAAACTCATACGGCAATTTAACCACATTCTCTTTCAAAATAAAAGAACACACGCAAGCCCATCTGAAGGGTTTGGTAGAAAAAAAATTCTAATTAAACTTCACAGGAATCTGAGTTTGGAAAAAAAGACCAAATCCTCATTTTTACCATCATTTCTCAAACCTTGGTCATTCACTTTTTGCGAAATCTACACAACACCTGCACAATTATTTACTTAATAGTCTTCTTTTAAAAAAGAAAATCAATGCATGCATTTAATTAAATAATTTTTGCCTCAACTTAAATAATAATATTGGTGCAATCATAGATTTGAATGCTAGCTATATATTTTTCCATAAGGTATGTTAAGATAAACGTAGAACTATTAAAATAAAAATATTTATCTGTGGTACCACCTCAGGGAAACAAAAATCACTTGACATACTATAGTGATACATGTCCCAAACTTTGAGATCAACTTATTTTCCCATTATCAAAAAATGTACACAAGCCAAGGAAGAGAGCCAGATCTGATTTTTATTTTCTTTGGCTTGACAACTGTTTTCAGACCGTGTGGAGTACCCTGTGCCCTTTGCTGTGTAACTGTCTGCCGTGGGCAGACACAACCCCTGAGACAAAGGTAAGGGCTTTCCATCAAGCACCACATAAAAGTCCCGATTCCCACTGGCCTTAATGGTCTTCAAATTTGTACTACTGAAACTCCAAGAGCCTCTTCTCTGGCTCACCATGATTTTAGACCACTGCTGTGTGAATATTCAAAGTATTCCCTGTCCACTAACCTGACCTTTTCTGCTCCCAAAACAGAGAGCTTCATGTCCAGCAAGCAAGCTAATCCACATCTCATCTCTTCTGACCCACCTATGCGACCTTCCAGCTGATGCTGGCCTGAAGCAAGTATTTATGCTATTTACCCAGAATGATTACTGATAATTCTTCCCTACCATATATGTGTGCCCATGGTGTATATTTCTTTCCTATGACTGCATCCTCTACAAATATGAATTTTAATTAAAAATCATTACTTTGCCCTGTCTAATAGACCCTGCATGAGGTACTGGTTAACATGCGATATCTGAAAATCATTCATGTTATCCGTTTCCATATAATTTAATAAGATGGTAGAAAATCAGTCAATGTACAGACCATAACAGTTAAACTATGCAAGGCTGACATAGTGAGAAAGAAAAGGAACTAACAACTCAGTATTTCCCATGAGTACCCAACATTCCCTGCTCCCTCCAAATCATCTTTTAAACCAAACAACTTGATACGGTATTATCCCCCATTTTCCAGCTACAGAAAATAGCTTGCTCAAGGAGCCTCTGTTTAGTTAGTGGTAGAGCAGTGAACTGGGCTCAAGCCTGCCAGGCTCCAAAGCCACTGTACCCACTATGTCCTGACACTGGATTCCCCTATAATTTCAACCCCCAAACAATCACTGCTTCCCAAGGGAAGCTGGAGTGTCAAGATTTCTCCTGCCAGTGCAGTAAGATACAGCCAAAAACTAAATTGTACTTACCATGCAACAGCCCAGAACGCTAGGCAACCAGGGTAGTAACAAGTCTACACAAGGCCAAAAGGGCTTGTTCAGATTCATTCCCGGACTAATCCCATCGCACATGTCACAGACGCAAGTCTACCTGGTTGGCATGATTCAAGAACTTCAGGGAAATGGGACCTATCGCGATTGATACTCCTTGGCAAGAATCTGCTGTTGCTTGGTTTATAAAATGGCACCAGGTTCAATTTCAAAGAGACTTGCCTCACCCCCTTGCAGCTGGAAGATGAGTAAGACAGTAAATTGGTACGAGAAAATGAGGTAAAGGATTTGGACTGGCTTACAGATTTCAAACCAGGCAATGGGATGGGGAGGTAGGCCAGTAAAAACATAATGGCTTACAATCAGAGCTTTTGGTCTTCTCCATCTGGAAGGCAATTTTTTGGCAAACAAATCAAAAGCCCAAAAGGAAAATATTTCAGCATTTTTCTTGTCCTTCTGACTCCATGCCTGTCTCTCCTGTTTTCCCCCCAAGGAAAGAAAGCTCTGTGATGCTCAGCTTTTCCTAGCAGTGGACCAAGAATGATTCTAAGCCCACTGCTACCAGTATTGCTCAACCACAAAGATGAGAGCAAAGTACTTCAGCATCAATCAACAGAGCAGGAAGTCTTTAACCTCTAGGCTTCATTTAAGTTCAAGTATATGCCCAGCCACCTACTGTTGCTCCTATAAAAAACATTTATCCAGGGGCCGGCCGAGTGGCGCGTTGGTTAAGAGCTGGCTTGGGACGCCAGAGGGCCCCGGTTTGGATCCCACATATGAGGGCCAGTGACACTGCCCTCCACAGCTAAGATGCTGAACAACAGCTCAACCTGGAGCTGGGCTGCTGTGAGTCGCCAGCGACAGCGTAGGCTGCAGCCCCTGTTGCAGTGGGTTGCCATGGGCTACCCTGTGTGGCCAGCAGCCACTGTGAGCAGCCGTCCAGAAGCCAGTGACTGATCTGCCTCGCCCGGGGAAAAGCGCAATGATGGTGCCAACTTGGGCCAGTGAAGCAACGCCCTCCACAACTAGACTGAAGAACAAAAGGACAGCAACTTGTCTGTTCCCCTTCCCCCAATTCCCCAATTAAAAAAAAAAAAAAAGACATTTATCTGCAAGTATAGATATGAGCTCACAATCAAAGTTCCAACTCGCCAAGAGACGGGGGTGCCCTATGATATTAGTTAAATTGGACTGCTGTACTTTTAATTCTTAAGAGTGATACCCACCCATCCACACCCACCATTTCTGTATTTTTAACACAAAATATCAAAGAGTAATACAAAAAATGATTTTTCAAGGCCCATGTCTTAACATTAGCTATCTCAGTTATTTAAGAGATAAACAATGGTGGAGCTGCTGATGAGTTTTACAGGTTCAAGTTCTCACATGCTCAATTTTCTTTTAAAAGGCAACATGTTGCTTCAAAGAAAGTCCCACCTGATCAGGGGACACCAACTCCACAGCTGTTTCCACTAAAGATTGGCACCTCTAGGCCAGGTTTAAACTTCATAACAATAAAACATGAAAGGTCTGTCTTACAATAAAAACAAACCAACATGGAAAAGAGAAGAGCTTTCTCTGCCTTTGGCCACTTTTTTCTGTTGCTGCATGACAAGCTCCCTTAGAGGAAAAAAGCCAAACGTAAAGTACAAAGCATTTTTCACCTTCCCTGGAAGCAAATATTTAACTATGAATACAGTTTATGTAACTTTGCCTCCCCCCACTCAAGCCTATTCCTTTGGTTCACACTGTCTGGAATGACAAATCACCCTAAAGTAAAGAAATGCCTGATTCGAGGTACACATCTTCCTCATGGCAAAGTCCACTTATGGGGGAAGGGAGGGGGGAAGCAAAGCAAAAAAAAAAAAAAAAATTTAAGAAAGAAAAAGAAAAAGCCACAACAGAGGAACCTTATGGAATTGACATTAGGCAAGGAGCCCATACTCTGAACCATTTCTTTGGAGAGGAAAAAGAATTGGCACCAATTCTTTCAAAACGAAATTACTCCAAATCAATCTAACCCTGCACTTTAATGCATGCTGAGTGCCCAAAAGGACATCATAACACCGGCTGGTTAGATAAACACACATTTTTAGGAAGGAGCACCTCCCTAACAGTTCATCTGATACCATTTTAATAACAAAACAACAACGCATTCCCACTGACTCCATATAAAATACTGCCTTATCTTATGCCCAGGTAGATTTTATACCAAATGTAAAAGAACAACTAACCGCAGTATGCCAGTATACACCTTAAGCCACAGGCTGTAAGAAAGAGGAGGAAATACGTGCTGATGGCTATTACTGTGACATATGGACAATTTCCAGTTAGTCAATGCAACTTGATTTAGAAAAATCTTTCCTCTGACCATGCCACATATCGTAAAGCTTTACTTCACTGCAAATAATCAGGAAGCAAACAATCAGCAAGAGTTAACAAGCAGGCTACATAATCTGACTGCAGTCTTGGGGTAGAAGGGACTTTGGATGTCAGCCCCTACACAGAAAGAGTCAGAGCGACACATGCGCCTGCACAATCAACTGAGTCAACGTCGCAACTGCCAATCAATTTTCAATGGAGGAGGAATAAACTCACTGTTTGGAGAGGGACAGAAAAAAAAATCCTCAGAAATTCTCTTAGAAAACATTTCTATCAAATTTCAGAGGGGGTAAAAAAAAAAAAAAAAGACCACAGACCCATTTTATTAGTCTAGTTAGTATGTTATTTATGTGATAATTAAGATCTCACTCCAGCTTACATTTAACACTTTAAACCAAGCTCCTAAATTCATAAGCCTAATGTATAGTGATCAATACCAAATTTGATCTGCATCTAAAAATTAATTAAAATTGCAAAACTCTATTTTAATTTATGTAATAACATATCAAGATGTACGAGCAAAAACTTTACCATAGTCAATTTGCAATTTATAAATGGGAGAAGCTACAGGAATTACAAGCAAGTTTTTAAGAT